AATACGATTTAATTTAGACATAAAAATTGTAGTATACATCCCAATCGCTATATAAAATTATAATAAATGAAATTTTTCATCAAACGTTGCAATCCCCTGTAATATATAATAAAGCCATCTTAAATATAAACCACGAATGAATGATGTAGAACCTATTTATTTAAAAAAAATAAACATGTTTTTTATTTTGTTTTTAAATAATACTAAAAACCTCAGATCAGGACTTATCAATTTCAAGATCCCGAAATATAAAGATATCTAAATAAAGCTTCAAGTGTTGTAATTTATTTTTATCTAATATTATTAAAAGTTACTATATATTACCTTTAAGCTCATTTCTTAAACAAGTTAGTCGTATTTTCGTGAGTTAATTAAAAGCTTTAACGTATATATTTATTGTACATTACTATTTTCCTAGCTTACGAACCATCTCTAAGTGAGGTATACCCAGGTAGGGCGAATCCAGATATACACAAGATACTTAAAGCTTTGTTCATGAAGAGTTTTCAGTAGTATTCTAAAATGGCGGTTACATTTTTTTAAAAAAAAATTTACTATGTTAGGGGGGTAAAAGTACTCGAGACTGTATAAATTCAATTGTATAAAATTGACTAATCACGAGAAAGTTATCTGGGTTCACTGTTCTTGAAACTATCTGTAAAGGCTTTAATTTTGCTGATCATAATTGATAAAACCTGGTATAGATCTCATTGCATGCACAGACTTATACTTTGAATTAGGGATTGGAATCAGTTTAGTCGACTACAATGTCTAGTCGACCAATTAGTCGACTAAACATAGCAGCTTACTATAAAAATAATCCTTACTCTGAATATCATTTTTATACGATATAAGTCCGGTGCATGATGATCAACATAATGTGAGTGGACAGGCGGAAAATCCAAAGCTACTTTCTTAATGTTTTTAAATATAATGAAGACTTTTGTATTACTATGCGTAGAAATTAAGCTTCGCTCTGGGCAATGATTTATGAATTTAATAAACTGCATAGCATATCAAATAAACTTTTCTCTGCATTATTTGTAAATTTAATTTTTAAAATATATGTTCTACAAAGCTCTTGAAAAACAAAATTTACAAAAGACCCCCGCAAGGAAAATATCAAAATGTGAAGTATGTACGCGGTACGACGCATACCATTTAGAAAAATGCAATCTAATCAGATCATGTGATATGTCTATGACTAATAGGTTCAGTAATAAAGGAGGAATAACTTATATCTTTAGATATTCATTCAGTTAAGATGTTTTCCAACTACAGAATAAGTTATAGTTATTGTATGGGTTGTAAAAAATAACTAAATTTGCACGAGTTAAGTTACATGGCCTTCGGCCATGTAACCCCGTGCAAAATTATAACCCATATAATAACTATTTTATTGCACGGTGTCTGACGTACAATCCCGTGCCAATAAGTAAATAAAAAAGCTCGGGTTGTTACATAAGACCCGTGCAATAATCTAATAGATATCCGAAGCCCTTGAGTTTACTTCTTATTCTAGTTACGTGGGAAATCAATAGTCCCGTATTTCGGGACGCGCAAGCGCGGTAATTCGAATCACTTTGACAAGTTTGGGTTACAAGAGGAAGCCTTACATTTATAAATAAACTTGGCCTAATATGATATTAAGGGGCGCATTATTTGGGACGCGCATGGATGTTATATTGAGTTGAAAAAATATATTCAAATAAAAAAGAATTTCGAAATAAAGCACATGCACGTTATTACGTGCAGATACGGTACTTATAAATTGATTTCCATCATTTAAAAAGATAACATTACTAACGAATGCCTTTAGAAATATTTAAAAACCTCCAGTCCTTTTATTGTAAACCGTCAATGGTGTAAAATCGGCATATCACAATTATGGGATGACCCAAATGTTTTTGATAGAAAATTTATAAGAACATACCGTTTACTATTAAATGCCGAAGAACAAGTTCTATTGATACCTTTTAATATAACCTTCTTAATATCAAAAACTTTTATTTGTATATATTAAATCTATTAAGTTTGTATTGGATTGTATTCGGCTTGAAAATAACCTTACTAGAAATTATATACTGTTTCTATGAACAACCCACAATTTAAAATATTTATTTTTTGAGGGAATCATTCACAATATAAGGCTTTTCAAAATTATCTTGGTACTGAGAGTGCGAAAATACTGCAAAGATTCTTTATATAAGCACTACTCTGACTTCTTTAGATCTTGAAAATAATAATGTTGAATAGGGAGGAGGAAGCGTTTGCAGAAGTTATTTGTAAAAATGCTACTTTAATTTCATTAAATCTTAGTAACAATAATCTGATTATGAAGGAGGAAAGTATTTGCAGAGGCATTTTGTAGAAATACTACTTTGACTTCTTTGGGCCTTGAAAATAATAACATGGGCCAGAAGAAATAGAAGCATTAGTAGAAGCCCTTTAAAAAATACCATTTTGTCTTTCCTAAACCTTAGCAATAACGAACTTCTTACAAGAATACTACGTACATTAACTTCGCCAAATCCTGAAATCTTAGTAACAATAATCTTGTTTTGAAGGAAAGAAATCTCAATAGCAGAGGCTCCTTGCATAAACTCATTTCCTGCTTATTTTATCTTGCTGAAAATCGAATTGATCCCGGAGATGGAAAAGCATTAGCAGAGGCTTTGCAACAATACTTTAACTTCATTAAATCTTAACTTAACTGATCCAAATAATCCGAATTCTGATACATTGTTACAATCATCTCAGAGAAAGAGCATTTACAGAAGCTTTTTGTTTTAACTTCATTAGATCTTAGTTATAATGAACTTGGTTATAAATTAGGAAACGTTTTAGCGGGGTTTCTTTGTAAAAATACTACATTGACTTCATTAAATATTAATTTCGTTTTGAAGAAAGAGAAGTGATAACATCTAAAGCCTGAGCAGACCAACTCTGTTGGGCCAACTAAATTGATAGTTTGATAAAACCAAGAAATAGTTTAAGGAAAGTGAATATGAGGTTCATATAACACCGAACCTTACAAGAGCAGATCTAATAAAATGTAAGGTTAAAAATATTATTCTTTTTTATAAATTTTACCAAACATGTATTTGATAGTGACTATCAGGATTCAAGCATTAAAATTATCATTATAGCCTAAAATTTATAATCTATATATATCATTCTGCTTAATAATTTTAAAATTTTTTACTTTGAACTTTTTCTATTAGCTATTCAGATTTTGCTATATCACAATATAATCTACAAAAGTAACCAATTAGAATAAAAGCCCACCCTGCTGGTGCAGTCACATAATTATCTGAGATAATACAGTATTATTAATCAAAGTTTAAAGACTCTTACCGCAGCTTATATTTAAAAAAAAAACAGTTTAAATTTTTTAATCTTAATCAATTATATCTTTACAGCTACCAGATCAAATTGACCTTTTTTTTTATTCTAATTCTACAAATCTGTAGAATTAAAATAAAAAAATTTTGTCGAATTTGGTCAGATGGTTGTCAAGATATTATATATCCGCAGCTTCTATTTTAATTTAGAGATGTTTAAATTTTTAAAAAATTTAGTTGAAGATATCTTAACATCACCTTTTCAAATTTGACAGGATTTTTTAATTTTACATGTCAGTAAAATTAAAATAAAAAATTTCATCGAATTTGATTAGGTGGTTATATTGCCCAAAATTTAAGGTTTGATAATTAATGATGATCATCATGTGACTACCGATTTTTTATGGCACCAACCTATACATTTCTTTTAATCTTTTTATATGTTCTGAAAAACGATCTTAATATTATAATAAAACTACAATAATATACTTTAAATATGCAAGTTTTATTTATAATGTTCTATACTTTGTTTACACAGTATTATAGCAAGTGCTTAAAATTTAGTGTTCTCATGGCTCTCAAAGAACATACAATTTTTTTAAGAACATTAATATTTAAAATAAGGTTATCTTATTTGAGAATATTTTATTACTTTATAATGTTCTCAAAAAATAATAATATAATTCAATTTAATTATCTAGTGCTCTAAAAAGTTATTTGGGTTAAGTTTAGAGTCTAATCTGAGTCTAAATCGAGCTATAGCGTATTAGAAACTGCATAGTTCTGTTGTTTAAAAATTATTTTATAAATTAAGTAATTCTACAATAATTATATGATTTAAAATAATTTGACTCAAGCTGGTTTTTAATTTAGGTTTTTCAAATTAATTCAACCCTTTAGAATAACATTAAACTTTTTTTTGAGAACACTAATAATTTAAATTAAGCTCTTCTGAGAACATAATTATAAATTTGAATTTTAAACACTGATTGTAACTAATATTTGCTTATGATTTTTTAATATATAAACAAAAAAAATAGTGATCAAATGAATTGTTTAAGTTATTGACTAGAAGTTTTTAAGAAATATTAAAGATTTTAGCTATAGATTTTCATTAGATATTTCATTTGATTTGTTTAAAACTCGTAAAGCAAGATATATTCATGTAGACTTCTACCGAGGTAATATCTTACAAGATATTCATACTATTGTACAAACTTACACGCTCTACAAGAAAATATTCGCTTAACCTTAAATTTTATATGTTCTGGAAAATTAAATCATAAGCCTTAATCACTGTTATGAAATTTTGAGCCTTAATAAAAGTATAGTGGTAATTAAATTCTTTTCTGCAGAGAGTGTACATTTTAAATTTGAGTTTGTCTAAAAAAAAAAAGATGAAAACGTCAAATAATTAACTAGAAGATACAAATAAATTTTGAAGGATTGTAAAATAATTTGACATGAAATTTTATTATAAATAGTAAACTTAGCACTAATCATACTCCACGATTTATATGATATTTTTGTAAACTTGTTATTTTTTGCATTATTAATTATATTTAAAATTATATTGGCATTAATTCACCACTATCATATATACTATATACATTTTCACATTTTCTTAAATTTTGATTTCTTGGATAAGTTTGAATACTAATTAATAACTTGACTACTTGTTATATTAGAAGCCTCAACTCTTCTAGGTGTTAGAGCATTTTCTCGTTGAATTTTAACAATTTCAGCATAATCAACAATAATTTTGGCAAAATAAACCTATTAAATTTGAATCAAATTAATCGGTTTAAGATTGGTTTTTAATTCAAACATTAAATAAGAAAAGCATACTTCAACAATAGGTCCAGCAAAATTAATCAATGTCTCGTTTAAAAAGACATTAATATAACCTTTTGTGTAAATATTAACAAGATAATAAATTGCATATATAACATGAATAACTATAAGTAAAATAAAAAGTATGGAAAAGATTTTCAAGAGTCGCTCAGATTTCTATATGTTTTAACAGACGAAAAAAAGAAAAAAAAAACTGATAGTAAACTTTTTAATTCTAGATTTACAATGTCAAAAGCATGCAATACATACCACACAGGCAGCAACAAATCCAAACCCGCTTATAAGAGTCATTAGAATATTTACAATTAAAGCAATTTGAGCCGGTGATTCAAGAATAAAGCTATCTAATATAATAAATTAAAAATGTTAGCATTTGACAAATTGAGAAGAAATACATAAATAATTAAAAATTACAATAATAATTGGTTATAATAAGGGCAGTATTTTGGAAAATGCCATATATTCCTCCAATCTAGGTATAAAGGAAGCCTTAGATAGCACATAAACATAAAAAGGTTTAATTGAAATGCTAAAAACGACATGCCATCCAAATAATTGTTATAATTATAACACCTCGTCTCATAGGAACGCAGCAGCAACATCGCGTAATTAGGACCATTTTTTTCGATTATTAGACAAATAAATTTCCAGTGTATTTATAGCGTGAAGGTACAAGTGCTATGTAATACAAATTATTTATAGTTGCCATAAAATCAGGATAAGTAACCAAACGTTGGCAAAAACTTCTTGCTTTTTTTTTTTAAATAATAAAAAATTAAGGTTAAAAATTTAACGATAATAAGTTGAACTTGCCCAGAATTTGGGAGAAATTAAATTTGAAATTGGACAACAGCTGTAACTGTGCAAATCTTGGCAAAAAGTCGTATGGTGGATTTATTATATGTTCATATGACTTATTCACAAAAGTCGTATGATTTGGATTTATTATATGTTCATATGACTTATTCACAAAATTCCCAAAATTATATAAAAAATCAAATTTTATGACTAAAACGTTGTAATTGTGTCCCCCAAGTATTTCTAATTTTTCTGTACAATGGCACTGGATTGTATATTTCGATGTTTGATCGGACAATCTTGCCTAGAAAATGTAGAAATGTAACTTTATTTAGGCAATTTTAAAATTCTAATGTGACCAATGTTACACTTTTTCCGATTTAAATTTGATACTAATACTTACTTGAATAATTAATGGTTCTCTTAAAAATTTGACAAAGTTATCGAGATTAGTCATGAATTGGATAGAGTTTTAGTTGTAAGCTATAGAGAAGATGTAATAAAGGCATATACTGTATATAGAATCATGCATTGCTTGTTCTAGTACTGCATAATCATAAACATGCATGAATTTGCATAATAATAATATCAAGATTTTATTTACACAGAAATTTTAAAATTTTATACAAATAGATTTCAAATACATATTGCCTTTACTTTTTATATTGAAAGAATGCCCAATTTTTTATTATGCGATATCATGTGACTAACGCGAATTCGTGCTGTCACGGGTTTCCTGTGACTATTTACTTATGCACAATCGTTGCAGATTACACAATATTATACCGGATTATGAATAACCGTTGCTTGCATCGTTGTCGTGAGTATCGAAGCAACGTTTATGAGTGCAAGGGGAAGCATGGTAATTCACAAGAGGGAGAAAATACATATAAAGAATGCTTTTTCATTCTAATAAATACAATTAGACAATAATCTTGCATTTGAATAAAAAGATCCATGTCCCGAAGTTGCGGCTAAAGCTAAATTGCGCACTGGATGTGCAGTGCTCCTCAACCAGCCATAACAAATACGAAAAATGTGCAATTTATATATATAATAAATATTACTTTTCTTAGTTCAAAAAATGTTAATTCATAAAACAATCGGGTAAATTTTTTTTTTAACTTTAATTGAAGAATTCTCAACAACTACCAATTCAAATTTGTTAATTTTTTTTTATTTTAATTTTGTGAGTTATGAATCAAAATAACAAAAATTTATCGAATTGGGTGGATGGCTGTTGAGAATTCTTCATTAAAAATTTTAGAAAAACCAGTTGCAGTTTCTTTTTTATTTTAAAAAAATTAGCTGCAGTTTCTTTTTATAAATGCCAAAACTTTATGATAAATGAAAATTAATTGAAGCGATTACGATTTTTAAAAATCGCTTCTAACTCTGAATTTGTCCATGAAACTACCCTTTTTATCCTAACGAAAATATTTTTAAATTTATTCATCGCGACGCATCGCCACCCTATAATTAAATCAAAACAAACAAACAATAATCGGATTAAAAATTTTTATAAATTTTTTTTTTCATGCAAGAATAAAAATTTTATATAAAAGAATTTTACAGCTGTTCTCATATAAATTCTGGGACAACGAAAAATTTCCGAGACCAAATTCGATAAGTTTCCAGGTTCGGCCATCAGAAATTTTGGTTGCCTCAGAATTTATGAGAACAGCTGTAACTTTTCTAAAAAAGTTACTCGGCTGTATAACGAAAAAGCGATTTTATTTGTCTGCATGGCCTAATACTATGAAAATTGAAGTTCTGCGGTTTCGGGTTCGGATGAGGTTTCGGAAGCTATAATCCGAAACCGAAACTTTCGGATTTTGGCACAAAGGGTTTCGGCGCCAACTCTAACTCTAACCCGAACCGACCCGACCCGAAATTTTAGGGCTAATATATTTAAAAATGAGTTCAATCGGCCTTTTGCTCTTAAACGTTTAATAATTCATGTAACGATAATCATCGAAGTTGGCTAGTCAAATCTAAGCGCAGTATGCTTATATACTCAGTGGGATATTACAGTAAGAATTGTGCATTGCACATTCAGAATCAATGAAAGTTTTTTTTTATTTTTATCTTATGGATTCATGAAATTATATAAAAAAACTTTACTGATTTTGTTGTCGAGAAATTATTGTTCGAAGTTAAAAAGAATTTAGGCGATTATTAAAACAA